CTCTCGCAATTCCATTCCGACCCTCGGATCAAAATCTCACTATCGAACCAGAAACTTCAAAATTCGACCTTTCGGCATTTCAAACCTAAATTAGCTACGGACCTCCAAAACACAATCCGACCACGCCCCTAACCCGAAATCACCCAACGGAGCTAACGGAACCATCGGATTTCCATTCCGAGGCCGTCTTCACACTATTCCGACTACGGTCAAGTTTCCAACACTTAAGCTCTCATTTAGGGACTAAGTGTCCAAAAACTTTCCGAAACTTAAAACCGAACATCCCGGCAAATCAAAATAGCAGAAATAGACTCGGGGAAAGCAGTTAGTAGGGGATCGGGGCGTAAATTCTAAAAACGATCGGCCGGGTCATTACACAACCATGCCGCTATGCAACTAAGCCACTAGTCACACATGAACCTGTGCAACAAAAATGCACAGCAATTGTAGTATGAGTATGGAAACAACGTGTACCCAGTAAGTATCCCGTCTAATCTCGAAGAAGTAGAGACGAGAGGTCGACTTCGACACTTACTAGTGGTCCAATGATAGTATAGTAAAATGTGAGGAAGTCATGGATTTCATAAGGCAGTAATAATAACTCTTAAAGCCGGAAAGCAGGTAAACAATTTCTCAAATAATAAAGGATTTCTAAGGATTTACCTTTCATTATCTTTATCAATTTATCTCTGGCCAGGAAAGGCAAATATCAACATTTATAATTCTCAGGAAAGCAATACAAGCATGCGCATATCATGCCGAGGTCGTACGGCCTGATCCAACATAAAAATAAAATGTGCACTGCCAGAGGGTCGAATGGCGCGAACCATAGATGCATCTATTACCCCGCTAGCGAATCATACATGCGACGCGGTCAAATATAAATAAACAATCACCCTACTCGTGAATTATACATGTGACGCAGGTATACATAGCAACACATACTCAAACAGTCAATCAAGACATTCATCGAGGAGACAATTATTCAAGGAGGTGTAAATTTCCCTTTTTACAAGTCATGAAAATGAAGTTTAACTCTCTTAGAAAATCATTTGCCACTTCGATATGATTTAAGCAGTTTAAACTATCAATAAGGCTGCATTTATTACAAGTAAGCGTGCTTTTGGGTCCTAGGCTACCCGGACATAAGCATAATAGTAGCTACGCACGGACTCTCTTCACCTCGTGCATGCGTAGCCCCCACACTTAGGAGCACACATTCAGTAAATTCACCTATGGGGACAATTCCCTCTTACAAGGTTAGAAAGGAGAGTCACCTCGCTCCGAAGTTCCATAACCGGCACTCCATGCCCTTCCGAAGACTTAAATCGATGCAAAAACGCTCCAAAACTAGCCAATAATTATGTAAGCCCATTAATATATGTTCAATTACTCATTATAGTCCAATTTACAACAATTCCTAACCCCGAACGAAAAGTTGACAAAATTGCCCTCGGGCCCACGTGCCCGGATTCCAAAATTTTTCGAAGATAAAGTTTACCCATGACCTCACGAACTCAAATATATAATTTATTCTCAATTTCATGTCCAAAATCGTGGTCAAAATCCAAAAATCTCAATTTCTAGGTTTTTCCTTAAAACCCCAAATTTTCCTTTAGATTCTCATGAATTTTGATGTTAAATCTAAGGTATAATCACAAAATATAATTGAAAATTGGTTAGAGGCACTTACCCAATGATTTGATACGAAAATTCACTCTCAAAATAGCCTACCCCAGACCTAGGGTTCAAAATATGATAAAATGAAGCAAAAACTCGACTTACACAACTAAAATCAAGCTGCAGATGTCGCATTTGCGATCCCCGGTTCGCAATTGCGAACCCTCGCAAAATCGAAGAAAGCCTTCGCAATTGCAAACAAAGAAGGGCTGGAAAAGGCCGCATTTGCGATAAAAAGTTCGCAATTGCGAACTGGGCATCGCAATTGCGATGGATATGTTCGCAATTGCGACCATACCAGAAGCAGCAGTTTATCCCGACACAAAAATGAGCATAACTTCCTCATACGATGTCCACATTCGATGATTCTTTTTGCTATGGCTCCGTAATTACGATACGGATCTAATGGTTCAATAAAAACTGAATTTGGATCTCATTTGCTTAATGTGGTACCCCTTTATTCCCAAGAAAACGACGTTGAAACATCAAATAAGAGCGCAATACAACTCGAAACACACCCGAGACTCTCGGGACCCCGTCCAATCACACACCTCAGTTCCATAATGTAACACGGAGCTGCTTGAAGCCTCAAATCACGTCAAACAACGCTAAAACCATGAATCACACTCCGATTCAAGCTTAATGAACTTTAAAATTTCAAACTTCTACTTTCGATGTTTAAACTTATCAAATCACGTCCGATTGACCTAAATATTGCACACAAGTCATATTCGACACTACGGACCTACTCCAACTTCTGAAATCGAAATCCGATCCCGATATCAAAAAGTCAACTCTCGGTCAAACTTTCTAAAAACCTTCAAATTTCTATCTTTAGCCAAATGACTCCAAAATGACCCACAGACCTCCGAATTCACTTCCGATCGCGCTCCCAATACCATAACCACCATACGGAGCTATTCTCAGACTCGGAATCCCAAACGGACATTGATAACACTGAAATGCACTTCAACCCAGACTTATGAAATTCTTCCAAAAATGCTAACTTCCACATTAGGTGCTGAAACGTTCCCAGGTCTTCCAAACTCGATCCGGACATTCGCCCAAGTCCGAAATCATCATACAAACCTGTTGGAACCTTCAAATCCCGATTCCGAGGTCGTTTACTCAAAAATTCAATCTTAGTCAATTCTTCGAACTTAAAGCTTCCGAAATGAGAATTCACTTTTCCAATCAACTCCGAACTTCCCGAAATTCAATTCCGACCATGCGTACAAGTCATAATACCTGAAGTGAAGCTGCTCATGGCCTCAAGCTGCTGAACGACGCGCTAGAGCTCAAAACGACCGGTCGGGTCGTTACATTCTTATTCTGAAAATATATATTTTTATACTTATGCTATACTATTTAAAATTCTTCAATTGTCTAAATTTATCAATAATTTTCTTGAGTGTTATTTATTTATTTATTTATATTTATTAATTAATTAATTCAAAATATATATATTATAAAATTATCTTTATCCACCTTTTTTCGTACATTCTTTTCTACTATAATATTTGATTAATTTTTCCATTTTATATGAAAATTTAAATAATATTTTTTTTACTGAATATAATTTTGAATTCATCAAAAGTATAAAGAGATAAGCCTTTTATCATTTTATAAAAAAACATACTAAAATTTTTAATAATTAATAAAATATATTTTATATATAATATATTATCTTATGTATAATATCCTAATAGTTTCTTTATATTTTTGTATTTTTTATTAAGAAATTATGAGTTTTATTTGTTACCTAAATTTTCCTACCTGAGAAATTTAATTTGTATATATATTTTTACAACATCATTTGATTTATTTATTTTATTAGTATTCTTCATTTATGACTATTTGTTTCTTATGTGTATATGTACGACTTTTCTCCTAATAATTCTAATTGTCTTATAAGTCTTTTATATATATATATATATATATAATTATATATATATATATATATATATATATATATATATATATATATATATATTATATATATGAAATTATTAATAAATTACCAATTTAGTATAATAACTACTCCCAAGTATATAAACACTACTACTACTACTACTACTACTATATTTTTCTATTACATAAAAAAGAGAAGATGATCCACCAGTAATTTTTGCTAACCTAAATTGAATTTTTATTGCTCATAACACGTATCCTTTCTGACATTCTTCATCGAGAATCCTCCACAGCTAAGTCCTCCAACTTTCTCTCACATTTACTTTGTCCAATCGTCTTTCATTTTTACTTCTATTTATTTTCTGATTATTTCACTACAGTATCCTAATAATTAACATCTTCTTACTCAGAGTTGAAGATAGAGGTAAATTAATGAGGTATCTGTCAATTTTTTGTTTGCTTGTAATTTTATTTCTTTTCAGTTCTTTCCACTCTTTATGCTTAGACTTATGCAAAGGGACTTGTTCAAGCATTTTGGACTAACCCTTCTTATTAAGTAAATAAAATAGAAGATCAAAATTCGACTAAAGGTGGTGAAATCGATGACGGATTGTGCTCCTGACATCGGTGGTTTAATGAATTAAGAAATAATCAGACTTCGAATCCAACTGTGTTTCGCAATAATGATAAAGTTGTGTGCTACTGCTTTCTAAATACTTGTGCCGATCAAAGAAAAAGCTCAGCTTCGTTCTTGCGGGATGGAGCAATTTTGGAGCGTTCAAAATGCTGAATTAAAATATTAAGGTATAACCCCTTCAATTGCTATTTTTTGAAGTGCTTCTATGTTTTTGTTGGTATAGCTGGTACAGGGGCCAAATATATTGATGAGGATAAAGGAAAATATGAAACAACTACTTGTTCTCCTCCAGATTGATTCGAACAAGTTGGAGCAGCTTTGGTCACTCTTCGTTTGTCTGTACATTGATGAAGAGGAAGGCTTAAGTTCATCAGAGACCATCGAATAGGCTTCAGCTCTTTGGGCCTTCCTCTATTTGGGCCACACGTTGTGAGCTGCTGCTGCTGCTGCTGCTGCTGCTGCTATGCACCACAAGAGTCCTCAAAGCCTACACTCCTAGAAGCATGTAAATACATCACATATACATCAGATATACAGTCCTTATACAACATGTAATTAAAGGTTATCTAAATGTAGTTATCCTAGAGTTTGTTATAGACTAGACTCCCTTACTCTTGTATAAATATGAACATGTACAGAACTTCAAATAATAAGAAATATACAGAAAGTATTCTTCAATTCTCTCATGGTATCAGAGCGGGTTTGAACTACTCGTTTATTGCCCTCATTCTCAAATCAGCTTCATTTTTTTTAATTAATCATCAGTTTTCCAATGGGTACTCCTATAGATTCTGTTAATTCATCTTCTTCGTCCACCACTGTTGCACCCAGAGTTTCTCCTACAACGGGTGTGGTGGACTCTTCACATCCATACTACATTCATCCTTCAGACTATCCAGGGATGAATTTAGTTACTTCAGTTTTTGATGGAAAAAACTATGGAGGATGGAGAAGGGCAGTAGTCATTGCTTTGTCTGCCAAGAACAAGTTGGGATTCATTGATGGAACCCTGACTGTTCCACCTGCTGATTCTGGACTCCAAAGAATCTGGGCTAGGTGTAATGATATGGTCCTCTCATGGCTGTTGAATTCTTTATCTAAAGACATAGCTGAAAGTGTCCTGTACTCACAAAGTGCCAAGGATCTCTGGAGTGACCTAGAAGATAGGTTTGGGCAAACAAATGGAGCAAAGTTATTTCAACTACAAAAGGAACTCAGTGCAGTTGTTCAAGGAAATACCAGTATCTCTACCTATTTTACTAAAATGAAGAGCCTATGGGATGAACTTGATGCATTAAACACTTTCTCAGCTTGTATCTGTAATTGTGAGTGTGGAGCCAAAGCTAAGAGTGTAAAGGCACATCAAGATGAAAGGTTATTGCAGTTTTTGATGGGGCTTAATGACACATTCATAGGGGTCAGAAGAAACATTCTTCTATCTTCTCCTCTGCCTTCCATTGGTCAGGCATATTCTCTTGTTATCCAAGATAAGAAACATAGAGAGATTCATGCTGCTCCTGTCTATCCAGGAGATTCAGCATCCTTCCTTACCCCCACTCATTTTGGAAATTTCAGAAAATACAATGAAGACAGAGGACAAAAGGGAAGATATGATCAGAAGAAGAACTCCGAAATGTGTGGCTATTGTAAGAAACCAGGACATAGCATTGATAAATGTTTTAGGTTACATGGCTTCCCAACAGATTTTTAAGTTTACCAAACAGAGGAAGTTTCAAGGAACTGTGCAAGCTAATAATGCATTTACTGGCAATAATGAAATGGAGTATACATGTGCTAATGCAACAGAAAATCAGATTCTTACCCAGGATAATGTGGCTCAACTTCTGAAACTCCTCCAACAAATGAAGGCAGGACAGCTGGGAACAGGCAGTTCTGATGCAAATGCAAATCTCAGTTGTGCAGGTATAGCCAAGTTCTTCAACTCTTATGCCTGTCTCATTCAAATTAATTGTGAGTCTTGGATATTGGATAGTGGTGCAACTGAGCATATGACATTTAACAAAGATTTTTTCACAAACTTTAAAGCCTTACCTAAACCATTGATGGTTAAACTTCCCAATTCTTATAGAGTTAAGGTAACTCATTCAGGATCAGTAACACTCATGTCTAATTTAATTCTGCACAATGTGTTGTATGTACCATCTTTCAGATTTAATCTATTGTCTGTACACAAGTTGTGCAGACAACTCAATAAGTATGTTCTTTTCACTCCTTCTTCTTGTTTCCTATTACAGGGCCCTTCACTGAAGAGCCCTCTGGAGATTGGTAAAGAAAAAGAAGGCCTCTACATCCTCAATTCAAGATCCTCTATAGCAGCTTCAAAGGATTTACCTAAGTCTAGTAATGATGTTAGTAGGAAATCTATTTCTATTTTAGACTCTTGTAGTAGGAAATCTATGTCTTGTTTCAGTCTTTCTATTTCTGATGTAAAGGATAAGTTATGGCATTATAGATTAGGCCATATGCCTTTAAGTAATATGAAAAACATATCCTCTGTTTCTGTTCCTTCATGTCTCAATTTTTCAACTCCTTGTACCATATGTCCAATGGCTAGGCAATGTAAACTTCCTTTTCCCTCAAGTTCTATCTCTACTACAAAGGTGTTTGAATTAATTCATGTAGATACTTGGGGTCCATATAATACTCCAACATACGATGGATATAGATACTTTCTTACCATTGTGGATGATTTTAGTAGAGGTACTTGGACTTACCTATTGACCAATAAATCTAATGCCTTCACAGTTTTGAAATCCTACCTAGCTATGGTAGAGAGACAATTTCACACAAAAGTCAAAACAATAAGGTCAGACAACGCTTTTGAATTAGAAAGTGGGAATGTACAGTCAGAATTTTTTCAATCTCAAGGTATCCTTCATCAAACAACTTGTGTTTCTACTCCACAACAAAATGGTGTAGTTGAAAGGAAACACAAGCATTTATTAGAAACTTCAAGAGCCCTGTTGTTTCAGTCACACTTACCTATATCATATTGGGGAGATTGTCTTTTAACAGCCACATATTTAATCAATAGATTCCCTTCAAAGGTATTAAACCTAAAAACACCTTATGAAATACTATTTAGCACCAAGCCTAACTATTCTAATTTGAGGTGCTTTGGTTGTCTATGCTTTGCTTCCACCATTTCAAACCACGGAACCAAATTTGAGCCTAGGGCATTGCCTTGTGTGTTCTTAGGTTATCCCCATGGAAAGAAAGGTTATAAATTACTTAATCTTCAAAGTTTTAAGACCTTTGTTTCTAGAAATGTCATTTTCCATGAAGAATTCTTTCCTTATGCTTCTTTGAAATCTGATTGTCATGACGAACTACCCCTGCCTGTTGCTTCTTCTCCTACTCCAGGTAGCCATATACCTGACTTCCCTATCTCAGTATCCCCTTAAGTTACCCAAAACAATCCTCCTAATCCTTCTATCACTACTGTTCCTTCACCTAGTAGAATGCCTGTTCAAGGTTCAGTTTCATCTCCACATCCTTCTCCTATTTCTAGTTCACATTCCAATCCCTCTATTCCCCTATTTTCATCCCCAGGATCTGAGCCTATGATGGACACCCTTATCAGGATATCTTCTAGACCTCATATTGCACCAACCTACCTCAAAGACTATATTTGTAACGCCATCCAACTCACAGATGTAAGTAGCTCTTGTTTTCCAGCCCCGGTCACACCCGAGTCTCTCTCTTTTAATGCATTATCTTGCTCTAATCACCATATGCTCAACACCTTGTCAAATATCCAAGAACCTATTAATTATACACAGGCAGCACATCACCCTGGCTGGCAGGCTGCCATGGACAAGGAAATTGAAGCACTTGAGCTAAATAAAACATGGGATGTGGTAACATTACCAGCAGGAAGGAAGGCTTTACCATGCAAATGGGTTTACAAAGTTAAACAATTATCTGATGGTAGTATAGAAAGACTGAAAGCAAGGTTGGTGATCAGAGGTGATATTCAGAAAGAGGGAATAGATTACAATGAAACCTTTTCCCCCGTAGTCAAAATGACCACCATTCGATGCATTCTAGCTACAGCAGTAAAGAAAGGATGGGGACTCTACCAATTAGATGTCAATAATGCCTTTTTACATGGCGACCTAAATGAGGAAGTGTACATGAAGTTTCCACCTGGTATTTTGCCTCCCTCTCCTAATCATGTCTGTAAATTAAGGAAATCTCTCTATGGACTTTGTCAGGCTTCGAGACAATGGTATGCAAGACTCACCAGTGCTCTTAATTTCAAAGGGTTCACTCATTCTCTAAACGATTATTCCTTATTTTTCAAAAAGACAGAATCTTCTATATCTATTGTGGCAGTATATGTGGACGACATCTTAGTAACAGGAAACAACAAAGAAGAGTTACATGCTTTAAAAGCTTTCCTCAATCAGGAATTTAAAATTAAGGATCTTGGCAACTTACATTTCTTCCTCGGCATGGAAGTAGTTCGTGAACCACAGGGTCTGATTCTTTCTCAGAGGAAATTCACCTTGGATCTTCTTCAGGAATTTGATGTTTTTAATTCTTCACCTGTCTCCTCTCCTCTGGACCTAACTGCCCAGTTGCTCGCTGATTCTGGAGAGCCTTTACCTGATCCTACTATATATCGTCATCTCCTTGGCAAATTGAATTATCTCACACACACTCGACCCGATTTGTCTTTCACCGTCCAGCATCTCAGTCAATATATGCAGGACCCGAGGAAACCACATCTAGCTGCAGGACTTCGAGTCCTTCGTTATCTCTTAAAGGACCCAGGTCTTGGGCTTTTCATGTCTTCTTCTTCTTCTTCTTCTTCTTCTTCTTCTTCTTCTTCTTCTTCATTTCAGCTCCTAGCTTTCTGCGATTCTGATCGGGGGACTTGTCCAGACTCGAGAAAATCAGTCAGTGGGTTTTACATCTCTCTTGGTTCTTCTCCCATCTCTTGGAAATCAAAAAAACAAACCTCCATCTCTCTTAGCTCTGCCGAAGCAGAGTATCGCTCTATGCGGCGCGTAGTCGCTGAACTTACTTGGTTAGTCCGTCTATTCGATGATCTCTCTGTACCCATCTCGTTACCAGTACCTCTTCATTCCGATAGCCAAGCTGCGATTCACATCGCAAAGAACCCGGTCTTCCACGAACGAACCAAGCATGTCAAAATTGACTGTCATTTTGTCCGACAACAATTCCTTGCAGGTTTGATTTCATTATCCTTTGTTCGATCTTCTTCTCAGCTTGCCAATCTCTTTACCAAATCACTCCCAGGTCCTACTCATCGTGATTTATTGTGCAAGTTGGGGGTACTTTCATCCCCCTCCAACTTGAGGGGGGGTGTTGGTATAGCTGGTACAGGGGCCAAATATATTGATGAGGATAAAGGAAAATATGAAACAACTACTTGTTCTCCTCCAGATTGATTCGAACAAGTTGGAGCAGCTTTGGTCACTCTTCGTTTGTCTGTACATTCATGAAGAGGAAGGCTTAAGTTCATCAGAGACCATCGAATAGGCTTCAGCTCTTTGGGCCTTCCTCTATTTGGGCCACACGCTGTGGGCTGCTGCTGCTGCTGCTGCTATACACCACAAGAGTCCTCAAAGCCTACACTCCTAGAAGCATGTAAATACATCACATATACATCAGATATACAGTCCTTATACAACATGTAATTAAAGATTATCTAAATGTAGTTATCCTAGAGTTTGTAATAGACTAGACTCCCTTACTCTTGTATAAATATGAACATGTACAGAACTTCAAATAATAAGAAATATACAAAAAGTATTCTTCAATTCTCTCAGTTTATTTCTTTTGTTTATTTATTATATTAATAAGCTAAAGGTCGATTCTCTACTAATTTTGAGGTGTAGCTCTTTTGAAACTTTGATTTCTTTTGAGGTGTAAAACCGAAGAAGATTTTGATGATCGCTGATTGAAAATTTTAATATATAACCCCATTTTAAATTTTTGTTTATATTGCCGGATTGCTTTGCACATTGATTTCTCACCTATGCTCTTATAGTCATGTTCTTTTCCAGACCAAATTTTATCTTTTATGTTGTTTCTCTTTTAATCTTCTTCCTTACCTCCTCTTGAATGAGGTTTGAAGTTGATCGATTGATCCGAAATGACAACTTTTCATTTTTACTTATTTTATTTTGCTATTTCTATTATTAAAATATTTTCAGGAGTTGCATATATAAGTGCTTAATTCGTTGTTGTAATCAATGTGGAGTATGTGATTTTAAGATCATATAGGTTATAAATTGATAATTAGTTTTTTGAATTATTTTATAGTTTGATCGAAAATAATTAATAAGAAAGGGTATTTTCAGCTTGCACCTTTAATATAGTAACATACATTAACTTTTGTCGATTAAGGCAAAATAACGAGACTATGTAGAAGGTTGTGAGCTTATAAAACACTCACAATATGAGTTTTTTTTTGGGAAATTTTCATGTTTATGTATGAATTCATAAAAAATTCCAGAATTTACAATAATTAAAATAATAACATATTCTACAACATAAATATAATAAATATATAAAACATATACCCTAAAATACGGCAAACTACCTATAAAAAAGGAATCTAATTTTGAAACATATCCATAATTAGTCCTATCCATAATTAGTCCCTTAATATTCTCTTTTTTGTTAATTAAAGATTATTACTATAAATGCTCTAGGTTACCATAATAATATTATCTCATTACCAGGAAGCATCCTCCATAAAAATATGTTGCATCCTTCATTTAACTAGGTTCTACATTTTTGGGATTCTTTTGTTCTTTCAATTTCAATTCCCACTTTGATATACTTATCGTAGGAATATTTTCCTACTATAGGAAAGTCAATTCATCACCATCAACATCATTTTAATTAGAG